TATTATTATATTAAGTTTGTGTAATCCATCATATATATTTACTGCATATATTATAGGAAGGTCATACCAATATGTAAACACCGTAATCTATATAGCCATAATAATAAACAATAACAGTATTGCATTATTATAATGATGCATAATACCAACGAAATATTATAATGATCTCAGCTGAATGACAAAAGGTATTGTAATATTATTTTTTCATCATGAGAAAAAAAAATATATATATAACATTACATTACATTACTTTACATTATACAGGGAGATGGTGTAATGTAAAGATATGGAAAGTTATTCTAAATATATGTTTTCATTATACATATTTCGTTGCTGGAATATTATTAAGATAATCTTTTCTGGCAACGTGTCAACTATAGTATGTGTGTTACAACCTAACCGAACCAATTCTAAGCTACTTTTACCTAACCTAACCTAACTTAATCTAACCTACTGCAACCTTTTATTCCGAGGGGTAATCTCAGCAGGCTTCAAAGTTTTAATGATGTTTTGATCGAACTCTTCATGCTAGGAACAGTTCAGGCCACCACACCTGCACTTCCCTGTGTGGCATGATCGTAGGTGACGGTCGAAATATACAGAACTCTTGTTTGTTGTGTATTAAAATGTAATAGCATGAGGCTTTAGGTCAACCCTCCAAACATCATCTCTTACCGTCTTAACACACTGAACACTTTATATGGACAGATCTGATATAATGGTGTCTCTTGCTCCCTTACAATGAGTCCTGTATCTGGATATAAATTACCTTTACCCTTAACATAATTTCCTCAAGCTTTCTTGGATTTACGTCTTCCAAGACCTCTTCCGAGTGCTGTCCCTCTCATGTAATACTGAATCATGCATACAACAAGCCAATGACAATACCCTCACCCCTCTGCGACTAAGCATTGGGCACAAAAACAACATTCATAATACCTGTGGCTAATTAAAATATAGTCACACAGATTTATCACTAGATGCAACTATAACCAATACAAAGCAAGAGAGAGAGAGAGAGAGAGAGTATTCCAATTCACTCGCCATCAGATAATCCGAGGTGTGGAGAGCATGGTCCAGATACCCCCCTCAAGACCCTCCAACCTATAAGGATATTGCCTCACGAAATCTCCGGATATTCCAGAACCATTTTCACCCTTCAGGCTTAGTTGACTCATCGGGTGAGTTCGGTTCTTTAATCAACTGATGAAAGGCGAGGTAAGAGTGTGAAGGACTTTTATGATAGAGGCATGTGTAACTGTGTGTGTGTGTGTGTGTGTGTGTGTGTGTGTGTGTGAATATGCTTCATGATTGTTTATTTGGTCGACAGTAATATCTTGGTGATTATTATACAGTACGCTTCTGGATTTCATTCACATAGAACACACACACACACACACATACATATATATATATATATATATATATATATATATATATATATATATATATATATATATATATATATATATATATATATATATATATATATATATATATATATATATCACCACCTCGACAGGTTCCGGGGCGAATTGTACTCGACAGAAGAAAGTAAAGAAACTAAATATTTGATCCCGGGTCTCGTTCACTTATTCCGACTCCTGATAATTTTATGGCGTCAGACGAATATTCTTAAGTGTTTTGTTGGAACTTTAAGCGGCAGTAGAATTTGAAGTCCTTACAGTTTGCTTAATATTTACAAATACATGTATTTATGTATATGAGTGTATATTCATGTGTGATATTGATGTGTATGAATATATTTGGTAAGAATTAAAGGAAAGTGTTTTAAGAACTAAAGGTTTTCATGCAGACAAATGTGGTTTAGTATGTATGTATGTATGTATGTCACTCCTTCCTTACCTTCCACACCAGTCACTCGCTCCACACCTCCCGACCATTGTTTCCTCCAACGTTTATTACTCTCTCTCTCTCTCTCTCTCTCTCTCTCTCTCTCTCTCTCTCTCTCTCTGTTTCTCTCTATTTCTCCAACGAAAAATATAATATTTTCAGAGGCATTTCATTCCTCAGTAATATTACTTATTCTTTCATCAAAAACATACATTCAGACACACTTCCTTTCACCGGAATATTTCTCATGAGACAGACAATCTTCTTCTTCTCCTTCTTCTTCTTCTTCAAACAAAATAGACAAGAATCTGTTGATACTGATAGAGAGGCTCACTGTCATGGTGGTTGCTGTGGAGGTGATGGTGAAAACTGTGATCGGTACCGCACACTGTAGACTAAGATTATTTTGGGCACTACACTCGACCACCCTTCACTTCCCCAACTGTAGACTCAGGTACCCATTCACAACAGGGTGTGGACTTGAGACGCAATGGGCATAAGGCAGTGGCATTAGCGAAGGTGAGGGAACTTGTAATGTAAATACGACCCATCGGAGCTTACATGCTAGCAGGTCTGGTAGGGTCAGTGCCTAAAGAGATTTCGAAAAACGACAAATTTCCCTGAAACACGTGTTCAAACCACTCGAGTCTACCAGCCCTACTGAAGTTAGGTTGCCTCAGGGAGAACAAGTTTGTTTTGGTTTAGTTTGATGTATTTTATGATGTATTCAATACCCTGAACCACGACACCTTTAGTCACTGTGTATGTCAGAGCATCATTGTCTAGCGCACTCCACACCACCACCCTGACGCAAATTCCACACCACCATCATAACGCAAACTCCACACCACCATCATGACGAACACTCCACACCACAACCATGACGTACACTCCACACCACCACCTTGACGCACACTCCACACCACCATCATGACGCATACTCCACACCACCACCACCATGACGCACACTCCACACCACCACCATGACGCGCACTCCACACCACTACCACCACCATTACCACCATCGAGGACCAGAATATGCAGATAGAATCACCCGACATAGCTTCCCTTCTAGCGGTATGAGGAAGTTGAAGTCAATAATGAATTCTAGGTAGATCCTCCAACACCGCACCCTCAGCTCCTCCTCCAACACCTCACCCTCAGCTCCTCCTCCAACACCTCGTCCTCAACTCCTCCTCCAACACCGCACCCTCAGCTCTTCCTCCAACACCTCACCCTCAGCTCCTCCTCAACCTCACCCTCAGCTCCTCCTCCAACACCTCACCCTCAGCTCCTCCTCCAACACCTCACCTCAGCTCCTCCTCCAACACCTCACCCCTCAGCTCCTCCTCCAACACCTCACCCTCAGCTCCAACACCCCTCGTCCTCAGTAGAGGTTACGGGAATGATGGAGACTCGAAGTTGGGACACCAACGTGAATCTTAGGCTTATCACATATGCAAGATGGTGCACCGTTCTTGATGCGGTGGTGACCTTGCCCTTCACCACACACACACACACACACACACACACACACACACACACCAATTACGAAGGTTTAGCGTTGTAGATGAAAATAAGCGAGAATAAAACGTAATAATTTCAAATAAACTGTCAATTATAACTGGGATCTATAACTAGGACCTATAACTGGGACCTATGACTGGGACATATAACTGGGGTCTATAACTAGGACCTATAACTGGGACCTGTAACTAGGACCTATTACTGGGACCTATAACTGGCGACCTATGCCTGTGGTCTGTAACTGGGGTCTATAACTAGGACTTATAACTGGGTCCTAGTTATGGTATTTTTAACTTAATATCATGGAAAGAAGTTGAATTATTGTAGATGCCCTGGAAAAGTCATGGTATGTATGTGTGTGTGTGTGTGTGTGTGTGTGTGTGTGTGTGTGTGTGACCGTGTGTACACTTGAGGCTTACCCCCACGACAACTTTAACCTACGCAGTTACCTTTGTGATGGAACGCCCCAAATCGATAACGTGTGGGTCCCCCTGTGGCCACCGACTGGATAAAAGGTTTGTCAGGGGTCGGACTTATCTGCAACCATTCACGGAGAGTCGAGTTAACATCACCAATTTCCCGGAGATGAAATGTATCTTAAAATCTGGCTGCAGGAACTTCACTTTAACTTGGAACTATAACTGGGATCTATAACTGGGATCTATAACTGGGACCTATAACTGGGACCTATAACTATGAGCTATAATTGGGACCCAATAACTAGGACCTATAACCAGGTCCCTATAACTGGCATCTATAACTTGGATCGATAACTGGGACCTAAAACTGGAATCTATAACTGGGACCCTGTAACTAGGACCTATAACTGGGACCCTATAACTGGAATCTATAATTGTGAACTATAACTGGGATCTTTAACTGGGATCTATAACTAAGACCCTATAACCGGGACCCTATAACTGGAATCTATAATTGGGAACTATAACTGTGATCTTTAACTGGGATCTATGACTGGGATCTATAACTAAGACCCTATAACTGGGATCTATGACTAGGACCTATAACCGGGACCCTATAACTGGAATCTATAATTGGGAACTATAACTGGGATCTTTAACTGGGATCTATGACTGGGATCTATAACTAAGACCCTATAACTGGGATCTATGACTAGGACCTATAACCGGGACCCTATAACTGGGACCTATAACTAGGACCTATAACCGGGACCCTATAACTGGGACCTATAACTGGGATCTATAACTGTGATCTATTACTGGGATCTATAACTGTGACCTATAATTGTCCATAAAGCAGTTATTCTCTTCCTATCTACGAGTTCCGTATTGTAGTTTGACACAACACCAGCATCGCCTCTGAGCCATCTCTCGTGTTATTGAAGAGAGAGGAGCAACACTGTGTTACTGATGTCATAACATGGAGCATTACACAAGAGGAGCAACACTGTGTTACTGATGTCATAACACGGAGCATTACACAAGAGAGAGGAGCAACACTGTGTTACTGCTGTCATAACACGGAGCATTCCACAAGAGGAGCAATACTGTGTTACTGCTGTCATAACACGGAGCATTCCACAAGACGTCATTATACTCTACATTAAAGACGAGACAGTAAGGACAGGCGGCCACACTCACCTGTCCGTCACGGTCAAGAGTGAAGGTGTTATAGGTGTGGCTCGGGTCACACCTGCACCAGCTGCTGCCCATCATCATTACCTGTGTGAAAGGACAAACAGGTTAATAATTAGTAATGTAATTAGCCTTTTCAGAACGCTTTCAATATCAAGCTACCTGTATAGTGAGAAATTAAGTAATTTTTTAATATATACAGTATATAATGTGATGTTTATGCCAGAAGGGGGCCAGGTTAACCCCCTCACCCCTTGTAATTATATAAAGAAGAGTGTGTGTGTGTGTGTGTGTGTGTGTGTGTGTGTGTGTCCCCCAAGTTATGTCGCACCTCCCTACCAAACTTTAGCTCTGTATTTAAACTGTGGAAATACAGAATACACACACACACACACACACACACACACACACACACACACACACACACACACACACACACAACACACACACACACACACACACACACACACACACACACACACACACACTTTGTATGAACCACAAAATATTCTCAATCTTCTCGGCTTATCTAAACACAACATAAAACCATCCACACGAGACACAAAACCATCCACACGAGACACAAAACCATCCACACGAGACACAAAACCATCCACACGAGACACAAAACCATCCACACGAGACACAAAACCATCCACGAGACACAAAACCATCCACACAGAGACACAAAACCATCCACACAGAGACACAAAAACCATCCATACGGACACAAAACCATCCACGAGACAAAACCATCCACACGAGACACAAAACCATCCACACGAGACACAAAACCATCCACACGGGACACAAAACCATCCACACGAGACACAAAACCATCCACACGAGACACAAAACCATCCACACGAGACACAAAACCATCCACACGAGACACAAAACCATCCACACGACACAAAACCATCCACACGAGACACAAAACCATGCGAGACGGAAATCACAAACTTAGTAATGATTCATTTGGGAAAAAAAAATATTGTGGCCAATATTTCGACGCAGCAAAAATGTTCATCTTTTCCCAAAATGTTTCGATCAAACCCAAAGAGGTTCATTATGGCCCGGATATTATATATGGACAACACGATTAGTTTTGATCAAGTGGAGGCAAAAAAGTGACAAGCGACTCTTATTTTGGTGGGGGGGAAAAATTATCTTAAGGGCGTTTTGAGTGACGATTCCCAGTTGAATATAGACTTTCCTGATTTACCAGAGAAATTACCTTGGAAAAAAATTAAACAATTATTTCTTTCTATATTGTGATTTGTTTTCAGAATTATTTAGTTAAGTTTATTTTACTGTTGTATTTCATGTGAATAGAGTTTGTCGTATGAGTTATTGTAGTACAGAAATACATTACTGTAATACTAACGTCCTGTAATAAGGTATTGTATTTTTTTTCCGGTGATAACATTTAATGTGAGGCCAACGTGATGTGGTATTGCTGATGTTGTGTTGATGTTATAATGTTATCAGTGCACTTCACCAATTAAGGTCTTTAAACACTAACAAGGGTATTAATTACAGTAGTCCATCAGTAAAAATTATGATATACAAACCTATGTGATGAAGCTCCGGTATCATGTACTCACTCAAAAAAAAACTATCTATTCAAAATTATGTTGAAACAATATGACACAACGGACGAAGGATTTTGACAACCCTACCGAGACAACAGGAGTCGTAGTGTTCATTCTGAAAATCATCGATCACCCCGAGTATAGATAGTTTTTTTTTTAAGTGACTGTAAAATATAGTATGAGATAAAGAGACGTTCATAACTAATAGAATTAAACAATTTTACAATGAAGTATTACACTGCTACGGTAATTTATCAATACAGTGTTGTGGGAGACTACAGTAAAGGAACACACGATAATCCTGGTAATATGATTCACTTGTAAATATACGAGTGTTATTGGCACTGTACTCGGCTCCCTTCACTGCCTCAGTTGTAAAGTTAGGTGTTTACGTAGTGCTATGGGATCGAACCATTGGAACATGTAATGAGTATTGAATCTACTCAGCCATTGCAACCATATTTTTTATATTAGTATTGTTTGTATTATGTGTTAATCCCCGCTACCAGTTGAGAGTAGACGTATAAAAGTGTGTCTGTCTGTCTGTCTGTGGTTGTGAGGGCGCCCGAGAAGGACTTTTATAGGAGCATCATCCTCCACACCACTCAGACGATTGACTTATATCACAGCATCTCTCGCAGCTATACACAGCAAAGGGAATCAAGCTGATGATTTTCTATCCACATTATTCCTGTCACCTACCGTCTCAATCACCCAGAGTCTATGCTTACACCCACTTTCCCTGCCACCCATTGTACCCATAACCCATTTGCCGACCACCTACAGCTTTTCCTGTCATCGCCAGTCTCTGCTACTCATTATCCTGCCACCCACTACCCCCTCCAACCACGCTACCCACTACCGCAGTCACCCACGCCACCCACCACCCCTGCCACTCTTCTCCAAAGGACTGTACGGGAGAGGAGAGTCCATTAGATATGAAACCTAAATATACCCGTTCGAGTAAAGTCCGTTTCATAGAGGTTTTGCTATTAATACACAGTTGACGATAGCTATGATGATATCGAGGATGATTAACGTGGCATACAGCAGAGGTCGCCAAGGGTCTAAATCATCTTATTTATTACGATCGTTCCAGCCATAAGGAAGTTCACTTTAAAAGCGGGCCATTTCTTAAGGGAGTAAAAATTACCTGCGACACGGGACGGATATAGACGGAGGGAGGAGAGAATTAATCCCCACACGAACTCAAACAGAAGGTGAATTTGTCCGTGTCCGTGTTTGAAATAGGGTACGTTTTAAGCCTACACACGAACACAAACAGAAGGTGAATTTGTCCGTGTCCGTGTTTGAGTGAGCGTACGTGTTACCCACACAAGAACACACAATAACTAGACTTATTGAATGTGAAAATCTTGACATATATGACATAAAGGTGACGTGATTATATTTTTATTTCGTAAAGAGGATGAAAGTTGGAAGAGATTGGGAGACATGACAGGTATAAGGTGCACTAAGGGGAGGGAGTCACCTGTGTGTGTGGGAGGGGGGAACCTGTAGGGGAGGGGGTCATCTGTGTGGGAGGGGGAACCTGTGGGGAGAGTTCATCTGTGTGGGAGGAACCTGTAGGGAGGTCATCTGAGGGGAACCTGTAGAGAAGGGGGTGGGTCATCCATGCGTGTGTGGGGAACTTGTGGGGAGGAGGTCAAGTATGTGTGGAGGGCTGTAGGGGTGGGGTCATCTTTGTGTGGGGGGGACCTGTAACTAGGGGGGTATGTGGCTCGTGAGGGTAAACAACAAATTAAAACACACACACACACACACACACACACACACACACACACACACACACTTCTATCTTCCTATAAGTGTGTGAGGCTTCATTAAATTAGTAGTTAGTAATGTAAATTGGAATAAGGGGGTGAGGAAATAGACTTGTTTGATGTTTAATATAAATATTTACTCATTTTCTTATGTCTACATTCAAGTTCATATTCATAAAGCACTTTTGATGATGATGATGATGATGATGATGATGATGATGATGATGATGATGATTTGATAATGAAGGAAATAATAATGACAGCTGATACATATCGTGTGTAATTTGATATCAACATTTGACAATTACAGGAAATAAACAAAACCTGAATAGCAGAGAAAAAAAAGGGTCATTGCCAGGAAGTAATGAGTTTAAATTGCCTTTTCAATTCTCTGTCAACATCAGTCATTCATTTCTAACTATACGTATAAACTTCCACATATCAACTAATAAACTCATATACTGATTTTTCTTATATACTTTTTTTGTTTCTAAAAAAAAAAGTTTAAGATATATTGAGGGATAACTACGGTCTCTCTCTCTCTCAAAACCTGCACCTACTACTACTACTACTAATACTACTACTACTAATACTACTACTACTAATACTTTGCTGTCACTGGGAATCGAGTATGACGATCATCCAGCTATGGTAAAATAATATGGGTTATTAGGGATGTCACCTAGGTTGGTGAGATTTGAGGTGACTAAAGAGCCCGATACGGGACCGGCAGTGTCGTCCACAACTCCACATTGGTTGCACATGTGGAGAGCTCCATCTAATGTGGGCGGAGGGGGGGGGCGGTGGTAGCGTCTTTCCGACGTTGGCGCTTATCTGTCTCGGTTTGCAGTCGTTACGATGTGAAATAATCGACTCATGTCAGGGGGTCGATTTGGCACCTTTTCAGGTTTGTCATAAGACTATCCTTATACCTGATGAAGAAGGCATGACGTGAGGGATTCACTGGGATTCGAAGCGTCATGAGGCGCTCGTTGATCCCAATCGGCATTTCGGTTAGCCTGTGTAGGATGTGTTGACGGATGGCAAAGCCAATTCCATAAATGCAGTTTCTCTCCGCAGCAGGCTTACCCTTCCAGAAGAAAGTGTAGCCAGATCCCCATTCTGTGAGTTGGCCCTCATCTGGGAGCCGGGACTCACTGATGGCTGCTATGTCGATGTTAAACCTCGCCAGCTCTTTTGCCACAAAGGCAGTTCTTCTTTTAGGAGGCGCATTTGTGCCAGTATCCAGAAGGTTCCTAACATTCCATGCAGCGACCATAAGAGGTTGTATGGTTTGTTTTTGTTTGGATCTATGATTTTGATTGTGTTTTCAACCGCATAAGGATGACCTTACTGGGTGCGGTTGGCCAGTCAGGTTGGGTTTTTAGGCAGGCTATGTTTAGGGCACCTTTTCTAGTCCCCTCCTCATGTGGGGTGAGCAGAGTGGCTCCTCATAAGGACTGCTCAGTCGCACAGACAGGACCGGATTGCACTGCTGCCTAGATCCCAGTGCATAAACGACCATTTCATCTGTGCCGCCCTCGTGCAGAGTTGTGACTAGATCCTGGCAGTCATCTCTGCCTGTCCGCATCACCACTCGTCCGTCGCCATAGGGCTTTTGGGCGGTATAAGGGGTTTGATGATGCTGAGAGGTATGATGAGCTGGATGATGGCTGCGCGTGAGTTGATTTGTGTGGCGAGGCAGGAGCG